GCACCGGCACGGCCCCGACCCAAGCAAGGACAAGGACGGACCTGTGACCAAGGGCGAGCGACGAGCACGGCACCGGGGGCCCCGTGCAGGGCTCAAGGAGGCGGAAAGTGGTGAGGAGCCTGGGCGCCGGCACCGAGCACGGCACAAGGCACCGCCCATGCAGGAGGCAGTGGAGAAAGAGGGCGAGGCCCCAGAAGGGGACAAGGAGGTCCGGAACCACCAGCCCAAGTATGTAAGCGGCCTGGAGCAGGCCTGGTGATGGGTGGGGACTAGGAGTCAGGGCCCTCTTGTATCACGAAGGGAAGGGTTGGCCCGGGTGATGCCCCCACTGTCCTAGCCGATGGGCCAGGATGACCAGGGCAGGCAGCCCTTACTGCTGCTGTCGGCCCCTCCCTGGCCAAATGCTCAAAGCTGCTTGGCACAGAGTACGCTCAGCAAACTTCGGGCATCATTTTAAGCTACCCCAAGGAACAGAGGGCTTCGGGGAAAGCTGTTGTGTTTGGGGTGCACTGACAGGGAAGAACAGAATGGCCTAAGCCTGAGGGGTGCTGGCAGGGTGGTACACCTGGAGGGGGCTGGGCTGTGTGGCTGTGTGGCTGTGACAGAAAGGTTCCCAGGCCACCTGAGTCTTCAGGAGGCCTGGGGCTGGGAGCCTAGAGGCTGAGGCCAGCATCTCCACACACCAAGCAGGACAAGCTTAGGTGGAAGCCGCAGCTGAAGACCAGGCAGCTGAGGGCCCTGTCTTTGTGTGCAGAGTTCTGAGCTGGGCCTTTGGCCTGGTGGGACACCTGGTGGGGTGGCCCAGGGAAGCATCCTGCTCTAGACTTCCTCACTCTGCAGGCAGTTCTATTCTAGGTATTTCCTTCTTTGTGTCTGTGTGTCTGATTATGGATAAGGTGGTGCCAGCAGTGTGTGACTTTGTGCCAGGAACAGGAAGATGAATCGGCCCCATACGTGCCTTTTGGATCTGAAGACAGAAGTGCAGGATGGTAGAAACAATACAAAATGGCAGAACAGCAGAAGATGGGCTGAACGGGTATAGAGTATAAGGAGCTAGATGTTGCAGATTGAATAGTTTGAGATTGCTCAAGCTCTGATGTACATTCGTGGTTGCAGGGACCCTCACAGTGACCTGGAGGCCGGTGGGGTGATGGGTATGGACCCTGTGCTCACACTGCCCAGCACCTGTCTCCAGAAGGTGGAGGAACAACCAGAGGATGCAGATAATCAGCGGAATGTCACTCGGATGGGCAGTCAACCCTCAGACCCAAGCACCACTGAGCATGCCCCAGTGACTCTGACAGGCCCTGCTGGGGAGACCACGGCCGTTCCCAGTGAGTATCACTGCATCCTGGCAAGGGCCACTTTGTGCAGGTCCAGCTACCCTTCCCACCTGCTCCCCAGTAGCTCCTGTGGAGCCAGTTTGCCTCTTTGCATTGTTCTCTGAGCTGGAGAGAAAGTCCTTTGCTTCAGCATCTGTCCTTTGATACTACTTGACTTTCTAGTGATCCAGAGGTAACTGAAGGTTAAGCTTCCTTTTCTTTCCTTCCAGAAATGTTTCTGAGTCGCCAGCTAATGCCAGGCACTGTGTTAGAGTGCTGGAACACAGAGGAGGGAAGTAGTATCATCAGTGACAGACCACAAAACTGTCTTGAGCATTTATAGTTGCGTAAAAGCTGCTAAAGACTATGACCGCTGCCTTGACTAGGGACAAGAGCTGGTGGGCAGGAGGAGGTTGTCCTATCCGCTCATGTGCTCCCAAGGTGCTTCTTTGAGGCTTCCCGAGGACTTTGCCTGAACTGCCCTTTCTTCCCTCCCTAACTGTCACATGTGCCTACCACCCCAGCTGAGCAGGCGAACCAACCAGTCTAGTAGGAAGAGACCTGCAGGTAACAAATCTGGGCTCCTTCCACAGTGGGGAAGGTGTGTGAGCATCTCACGAGCACCAAGGAGAAACCATTCTGAGGGCACAGGGGAGACCAAACAAAGGCCAGCACAGTCTGTAGCTGGCGAGCAGACCAAGTGAGCTTGACCCATCCGTGCCCATATTTGCAGTTGCAGCCACACATGGACATTGTGACAGACCTGGTCCTTCTGCTCAGGCCCGAGGAACTGTAGCCCAGTGCATGATCCTAGGTGAAACAGCGGAAGCGGGTGGAGATTGGCTACATAGCCTGCCTTCCATCTTAGGTTCCTTGGAAGAAAACTGATCATAGTCCATTTTCTTGCTTCATTTTTCATGGGCACAAGTCATTTTTTTTCTTGTCAGACTCCTTATCCGATTCCCTCTGGATTAGCTAGAGGATGGGCCCAGGTCCCCACCCGGTTTTTGTCCGCAGGAGCCCAGATGTGGCCCCTCTCCACCCTGTGTGTATCCCCTTGCACTCCATCCCTGCTGGCAACCACTAGAATGTTGCCTCTTCCAGAGTACTGATTGGTGCAGTCATGTGATACGCAGCCTTTTCAAACTGACTTCTTTCACTTGGCAGCATGCACTCAAGGTTCCTGTATTTCACTGTGTAGCTGGATAGCGTATTTCTTTTTAGCATTGAGTTAAAATCCATTGTCTGGATATACCACAGTTTGTTTATCCATTTACCTATTGGAGGATATCATGCCTACTTCGCTTTTGGTAATTACGAATAAAACTGCTTTATTCATGTGTGGACATACATATTTAACTCATTGGGTTAAATACCTAAGAGCATGATTGTTGAATTGTATGCTAAGACTATGTTTATTTTTTTATTTTTGGCACCAGGGTTCGAACTCAGGTCCTTGCACATGTGTGGCAAGCTGGTAGCACCACTGAGCTAAATCCCCAGCCCGACCATGTTTATTTAAAAAAATTTTTTTTTGAGACAGGGTCTCACTACGTAGTTGAGACTGCTGCAGAACTCACTACATAGCCCAGGCTGGTCTTGAATTTACAGTGATCCTCCTGCCTCAGCCTCCCAAGTGCTGGGATTGCAGGCGTGCACCACTATGCCCTGCTTCGACCATGTTTATTTTTGAAGAAATTACCAAATTGTCTTCTAGAATGGCTGCATCATTGCATTTCCACCAGCAGTGAATGAGACTTCTTGTTGCTCCACACTCCCATCAGCATTTGGTGTTATCGGTGATTTGGATTTTAGCCATTCTGTTTAACTGTACAGTGGTATCTTGTTTTAATTTCCAGTTTCCTAAGGACATACGATATTGGGCATCTTTTACTGTCTTAGTTATATCTGTATGTCTTCTTTGGTGAGGTTCCCATTCTGGTCTTTGCCCACTGTTAAATTGGGTTGTATGTTTTGTAACTGCTGAATTTGAAGAATTCTTTGTATATGTTATATGCAAGTATTTATTAGACATGTTTTACAAGTATATTATTTATCCCGGTCTGTGACTTAGCTTTTTAGTCTCTGACTATTTGGTATTTTTGATTGTTGTTTTTTGGGGCTGGGGATTAACCTGATCCTTGCTGTTACTTCTACTAGAAGCAAAAATCTAGTCTATTGATGTTTGTATGTTAATTATATATCTTCCTACTTTTTTTGAGTCCTGAAATTGCTTATTAGTTTTAGTGTTGATTCTCTTTGTTTTTTTGAAGTCAGTTGTCAAAACATCAATGAATAAAGCTCTAACTTTTCCTTTCCATGTCTTAGGCCTCTTATTATTAGTTGTGCTGATAAGGTAGTGGGTATCATTACCTTGTTTCTGACAATAGTAAATTATGAATTCTGGTGTGGGGCCTGTAGGGCCTTGTGCATGTAGAATCACGTTATGGTATTTTATATCAGTAAGTGTTTTATCTAGCAAAGATGTTGAATTTTGTTGTTGTTTTCAGTAACCATAGAGATTATATTTTTCCCATAAATATGGAGATAATATAGCAGTGAAATTCCTTATGTTGAACTATCTTTGTAACCTTAGAATAAACCTCATTTGGTTATTTTATTTATTTATTTATTTATTTATTTATTTTGGTACCAGGGATTGAACTCGGGTCCTTGCACTTGCAAGGCAGGCCACTGAACTGCTGAGCTAAATCCCCGGCCCCTATTATACTTATTTTTAATATACTGTTGCATTCTGTTTCGTATTTTATGTAAGATACCTGGACTGATGCTGTGAGTTTTGTTCTATAGCTTCCTCATATTGTGTTTAAACATAAGGTTTAAGATAACATGCTTTTGCTCAGCTTCACTACTCCAGTCCTAAAAATCAGATGTTCTGAATTTCTATAAATTGTTTCATTTCATATTCCATTTCATTCCGTTCCATTTGTACTTAGAATTGAATCCAGAGCCTCACATGCTAGTTAAGTGCTCTACCACTGAGTTACACCCCTAGCCCTTTCCCATTTCTTTAGATGTTAACAGATTATGATGTATTACATGTCAACTCAAAATCCCCAATTTCCTAAATATAACTAAAGCATAGTTAAATATTGAAAAGCCGCAGAGTATCATATTAGGACATAACATGAATAACATTTTTTCCTGATCAGTTAAAATAGCTATTAAAAGTGATTGCTTTGAACACCTCCTCTATTGAAACTATTGAACTTTTGAAAAACAACTATACATGATTCTGATAATTTACCAGGAGAATTTGCACTTTTGCCTGAGTACAGTGTTACTTTGTTTAAAAGGCTGTATTGACTTTCAGTGTTGTACACATTTTCCCTACTTTAATATCAGCCCCCAAACTCCAAAGGATTATAATGAGACAGTTTTGCAAGATTGTAAGTTTGCAATATGGAAAATTAGAAGACCCCTACTAGCAAACTGAGGAGCTATTCTGTGGGATATAACAATTACTGGTTAGTAAAAAGAATTGGAATCTTTTGTCTTTTCTTGTGCTCTGGGATAGTTCAAGAACCATTAGGTGGGTGGTGGCACACACCTGTAATCCTAGCATTTGGGAGGCCAAAGCAGTAGGATTGCCTCGAGTTCAAGGCCAGTCTGAGGTATAGTGAGACCTTGTCTCAAAAAAAACCAAAACCAAAACCAAACCAAAAAAAGAACCATTGTAATTATATGGTCTTTAGATACATGGTAGTCTTCTTTTGTGAAATTGGGTATGCCTGCTTTTTTGTAGGGTAATTCTTTAGTAATTTCTCTATTTCTCTATGGACATTGGTCTGTTTAAACATTGCAGTCTCCTGAGATGAGGTTGGTAAATTATATTTCCTTTAAAAATTATCCATTTGATTTAGGTTTTCTATTTATTTATATAAACTGTGCGAAGAAGTGGCTTGATTTTTATTTTGTTTTGTTTCTGGTAGTATCCCACTGGTTTAGTGTTTTTTCCTTGTCACTTTTAGTCTATGTATTTTTGTGTTGCCCCCCCCTTTTTTTGCTTGACTAGATTATCTAATAGTTTATGTGTTTTATAGACTTTTTTAAAATGAAAATCATTAATTCTGTGGTTTTTAAAATCATGACTTTCCATTTTGTCTTTATTATTTCCTTTCTGCTTCATTTTACTTTATTGTTCCTTCTATTTCTTGAGTTAGATATTTTATTCTTTACTTTTTATTACATTTAAGTATATGGATTTTCCTCTGATCTCTAATTTAATTGTATTCTATAGATCTTGAATATTTGATATCTTAATCTTAATAAAATTTTTAAGTAAGTGATTTGTTTTTGGTTCATATTTGCCCAAGGTATGTCTTTATAGATCACTTGGGTTTTTTAACCTAGAGAATTATCTGCAAATATGTGACTTTGTTTTACCCTTTCTGCCACACGGGCTTTTATCCCCTCTGCTCTGTTGTGCTGGCGGCGATGGTGAGGATGGACACTCCCTGCTCCTGTTTTCTGGGAAGGACCATCATTTTCCATAATTTTAGTATGATGTTACCTGTACATGTTTATTTTTTTATTTTTGTAGCTGTCCTTTATCAAGTTGACAAAATTCTTCTTCATTCCTCTTTTTATCCGAGTTTTTTTCCAAGTCTATTTAATAAAAAGAACTGAGTTTTTATCATTAATGGTTGAATGTTGTTAAATGATTTTCTGTATCAGTTTATATAATCATGTGCTCTAAACTTTATTGGTTATTGTGCGTAATTATTTCTATATGTTGCCCAGTTCTATTTCTTATACTTTGTTAAGGAGTTTTAACCCAAATTTATGAGGGATATTGGTCTATATCTTGGGTTTTTTTTTTTTGGTACTGTCCTTGTCTGGCTTAAGTATCAGAGCAGTACTGGATCTGTGCAGTGTTTTGAATTTAATAGAATTGTTCTCTCTTCTGTTTTCCAGAATAGATTATTTTTAATTGGTGTTACTTTTTTCTTAGATATTTGGTAGAATTTTCCAAAGAAACATTTCTTTTT